CCGTACTAAAATAAATTTTAGTTTGACCCCATAAAAATGATTCGTGCTTTTTTGTAAGGCTGACCACCTTAGCTTTGCTCATTTGTCTAACGGTAAACTATTAAATAAAGATTCCAAAGCAATAGTTAAGAGCCATCCTATTTTTAAATAAGGTTTTTATTTAATGTAATGTTTCTCATCCTTTCATTGGCAAGGCCATATAATTGTCACAGCAAGCTCATTCTCGCTAACAGGTGAACTATGATGAGGTTTGTTATATAAACTGGCTAATGTGATCTGGCTTTGTGTCACCTAGATGTTTTTTTATGTCCGTCTCGATACCGTTTCCTCAAAAATTGCAATTATCACCCAATAATTTAAAGGAGTGAGAGTTTTAAATAATTATTCATCCTTTAGATATTATTAACAATGCTGCAAATTTCTTCCCTATGGGCATATGCTAGCAAAGCTTAGAAAATGGCTAAAATGAACAGGTTTTTGAATGAGAAAGGAATGCTTATTATAGAAGTTTATTCCATGAAAAGATTAATTACGAACCTGATGAAAAGTCGTGAATGCTGCTTGTCTCGTGAAGGCCGGTCAACCGTCGTTTGTTGTCCTCCCCTTTTTTCGGATCGTAACTTTCGATGTGTTCTTTATGAGTGCAAGAGAGTTTTTGTATAGCTTCTTCGATGGCCCTGAACAACAGATTTCGGATAATAGAAATAATATGTGGTAAGTCATGGTTTTTAGTTTGCCCTATGCACAATTCTTATAAAATATTAGCTATTAGAAGAACGATCTGTCCTGAGGTTCAAATCCTATCTTTCGAGGCGTCAAGAGAACTTTTGGTAACCTTTAATAAAAGTGGTCTATTGAGCTAGCACCCCAAATCGGGCTTATCACAATTCCTTGTCCTGAATATAACTCATCGTCCACAAGGACTAGGCCTATACTTGATAGCTCACTTAATCAAAATATATTGCAAGTGATAAAATGCCACCGCTAAAAGGACCTGTATTCATACCTGGTCGCA